AAAAAAAAAAAAAAAAAAAAAAAACCAGCATGGCCTGGAGCTGTGGTGCCGCAGTGGTAAAGCACCTGCCTAGTATGTACAAGGACCTGGGTCCATCCCCAGCACTTCAAAAGAAGAAAAAAAGGCACAGTATTGTACAACATCACAAACCAACCCCAACCACCACTCCATGTTAGTAACCCGTGTGACAGTGTGGCGAGCATCTCCACGCATGCTGTACATGTTGTTATGTGGGATCTGTACACAAACTACTCAATGTGTTCTTCAAGCAACCTCAAGTCTTTGCAGCAGCCACCTAGAACCTCACCCTCAGGTAGGAAACAACTCCGCTGCCCTCTCTTTACAACTCTGAGGCCAGCGCCACATCTGACACACAACACAGCTTCCTTTCCGAAACGTCCTCCTCCAGGCCCAGCAGCGTGGGAAGGTCTGCGTCCTTGGTGCAGGGGCACACGTGTGTAAGAGCAGTCACATCAGAGGTCACACTCAAGGCCCCGACAGGCACCCAGCCAGCCACGAATCCCTCTACCTCTCAATCGCACAGCCTGCGCCCCCAGGTTCCCACCTTCATGCACTCGCACGTGCTGTTCCTTCCTTTCTTCCCACTCTCCATCTGTCAACTCCTACTTGTCCTTCCTAGACGGAGAGCCACCCGTCCAGCCAGTCTCACCAGTCTCTCCCCCTCTGTGGCCTGCTGCAGGGGCGCCCTCGGTCCCCACACACAGAACAGTGATTGTGACCGGCCGGCCTCCGCCCTGGGGCCTGTCTAGCAGCGCATCACCCCGGGAAGAGAGCGGAAGTGCTGAAGGCCGGCAGAGTGAGGGGTTCTGAACAGAAGACCAGGCGCCCAAAGGGAAGAAACCTGGGGGACGGGAAAGTGGGCACAGGAGTCGGAAGGCGCTGTTCGGAGGCGAGAGGCGGTGATGTGAGTCCCAGTGAGGACAGAACGGGGTACGGAGCTGGAGAAGAGGAGAGACTGGGGGGCCAACAGAGATGGGGGCCACAAGAGGGACAGGCGGAGGGACCCCAGGGAGAACGGGGGACCGAAGGGAGACGGGTCACCTGGGGGAACCGAGGACAGACGAGGGGACGGGGAGGGGACCCAGGCGGCGGGTGCGCGGCTCACCTGCGCAGGGGGGCGGCGGTTCCTCGCACTCGGGGCTCATCGGGGCGCCCCCCGCCCGCCCCGCCGCCGACGGCTCGGCCCCTTCGCGGGCCGGGAGAGTGGGGCGGGGGCGGCGGGGCGGCGCAGGCCCGGGCCGGGCGGAGACCACGCTCGGGTCGGCGGCGGGAGGGCGCGCCCGCGCGGCGGGGTGAGGCGACCTCGAGGCTGCGCAGGCGCCTCCGAGAGCAGGGACGGGGAAGTCGCCTGGGGTTCCCCAGACGAGCCGGCGTCCGCGGGCCGGGAAAACGCCCGCCTCCTCAGCCCGCCCGGGACGCAGAGTTGGGCGGCGACCGACCAAGGCCAACGCCCGCTTCCACAGCCGCCGCCTTCCCCGAAGTACCCGGGTCTCCGGCCCCGCAGTCCGCGTCAGGGCCTCCGAAGCCCGGCTCGCTCCGCCACTATCCCACAATGCCCCGAGAGCGGGAGGTCGCAGAAGCCCCGCCTCCCACGGCCTCGTCGGTGCGCAGGTGCCCCGAGGGCCGCGCGCGCAAGAGTCCAGCAGTGCGCCTGCGCGCTGGTCCCGGCGCCCCTCCCCCCCGACCCCGCCCACTCCAGAACACCTCCCCCAGTTGCTGCCAACGGTCTCTCCTCGAATAAACCCGGACCGACCAGTACGCAGGCGCTGCGGCACTAGGACTCCTCGCCGCTGGGTTCCGAAGCCCTGGCGCTTCCTGAGCCGGAGTTTCTCTCCCCCCTTTGAGACTCGGGTCGCGCTTCCGCTTCTGTAGCCCCCGCTCTGCTCCGCGCTGGGTTCGACCCTTTCGCCTCGGCTCGCGCCGGAGCTTCGATTCCACCCGGGTTCCTCGCGACGTCGCCTGGGCACCTGGGGTGACCTCAGTCCTCCCTTCCCCCGCCAGCCGTGTCACTGTCGCCGGTTGCTGCACAAAGCCTCACGAGCAACGTCACGGGCAGGGTTCTCTTGGACCTCGTCATTATTCAGCCTGTATGGTTCTGAGTGTTTTCCCACTTCTGGGCCTCCTCCTTGCGCTTTGTAGAGGCGCTCTGTAAGAACCAGATGAGTAAATGCGTGCCCGGAACTTGTCTAACCTTCAGATCGATGTTTTTCTCTTTTTTTTTTTTTTTTTTTTGTACCAGAGATCGAACTCAGGACCTTGCGCTGGCGAGGCAGGCGTGGTGCCACTGAGCTAAATCCCGGGCCCAGATGTTTTTCATCTCAGGGACGTTGTACGGACCCATGTTTGAGTGTATTGTTCGAGTTGTTACTTTTTTTTCCCCCTGTACTGGTGATTGAACTCAGGGCCTTTGCACTGAACCACATCCCCAGCCTTTTTTTCTTTTTCTTTTTTGGTACTGGGGATCGAACTCAGGACCTTGTGCTTGAGAGACAGACGCTGGAACCTCTGAGCTAAATTCCCAGCCCTCCCGAGCCTTTTTTTGAGATAAGGTCTCCCTAAGTCACTAAATTGCTCACACTGGGCTCTAACTCGCAATCCTCCTGCCTCAGCCTTCCAGAGTATTGGGATTCCAGGTGTGCACCATCCTGCCCAGCTTCTTCCACAGTTCAATACGCCGGTTAGCGTTTATCCTTCATGTTTGTTAGCTTCTCTTCAGCGGTGCTAATCTCGGTCCATTCCAGTTGTATTCACTTATCCGTACCTGTAGTGATGTGGGGGGTTTTCAGCCTTGTCTCTCATGGCTCCTGCTGTTTCTAGTATTGTATGTGGTGTCGGTTGGCCCTTGTATCAGCTAGCTAGTGTTGTGTGACAGAACCCCTCAGTGTCCGGCAGCTGTTCACAGTTTGAAGTTCAGTGAAGTGATTCCGCTCCCGTGTCTCACGAACCACAGAACAAAAGGCAGGTGCATTGGTTGCCTCCCATCTGCCCCATCCATTGGCCAAAGCGAGTCACGGGGTCAGGCCACCATCCAGGGCAGGTGCACCTGCTCCGCGATTCAGGGTGGGAGAGTACTTACCTCGCAGAGGCAGAATGAAGGCAATATTCACTCCACAGACTAGTTTGCGAGGCTCCTTTGCTCCTCTGCTCAGGCTTGCCAGTCTTCCCCTGTAATCTTTGAGGTCTGATCACACAGTACACTCAGGTTCCATACGTGTTACAGCTTGAGGCGACTGTGAGTGTTTCAGTCAGGTTTCTCCAGACATGAACTCGTTCACAGATGAATAGAAAAGAGGTTTATTATGAGGAATTGGTGGACACTGTGAAGTCCTGCAAGGCCCAGGAAGGCCGTGGTGTAGTCCAGTCCACAGCTGAAGGGCAGAGAATCAGGAGATGGGATGGTGTAAGTATGGATCTGACCCAGAACTTCTGGAGCAGAAGTGGAGGGAGAAGCCTGGTGGTCCTGCTCAGAGTAACCCTGCCCCACCTGCCCCTTCCTGTTCTGGGTGGGCCTCATTGGTTACCCACCCTGATGCCCCCCACTCTGATGAGGATAGGTCTTTATCCATTTACTAATCAAATGCTAATCTCTTCCAGAGACCTGCAGAAATCACACTTTATGAGCTGTTTGGGCAAGCCTTACCCAATCACATGGTCACCTAAAATTAACCATCAAGTGACATAAGGCTTTTATTTTGGGACCTTCTGTCCTCTGTAGCATTTGGCTTCCATGTTTTCCCCCACAATATGATGGCATCACTGCCACACTGATTTTTGTTTTGGTTTAGTTTTTTTTTTTTTTTTTTTGGTACCGGGGATTTAACTTAGGTCCTTGCGCTTGTGCAGCTGACGGCTGCGAACTTATTGAGCTAAATCCCCGGCCCTGTTTTGGTTTAGT